TCCTCTTAAATCAAACACAATGTCATTAAATAAATTAATAAATTTTTATATATAATTTAAAATATAAAATTTTAAATAATTTAAAATAATTATATTTAAAATAATTTAAAAATCAAACTAACTAAATTTTAATTTATAAAACTATTATATAATGTTATTATATAAAGTTATTATTATTTATAAAGCTATTATTAATACTATATTGTCAAAAAACGTACTTGTAATTTTTGCGATTTTCGATTAACTTGGAATTCAGAATCTGATTCTTTGAACTTGGCGAATTCATCCTCGTAACATTTTACTTTGTGTGGAAAATCGCATTCCAGGGTATCAGGATTAAAATGAGTACCAGGAGCACAGGGTTGAACAAATGCGCGACCCTTCCAACAATTGACGAAAAATTTGCAATCTAGCGGATAAACAAATTGTCCTGTCGAATTGTTGTCAGGACATTGAATACCTAATTGAGGATTATATCGAGCCACTTTATGTTGCGATTTTTGTGAAAGAAGTATGTTTTCCTTTCTTGGTTTCTATATAAAAAGATAAAATCAATGTCGTCGCAATGCAAATGATGTCTAACAAATATAATCACAAAAATAATGAAAAAAAAATTGAAATAAATTTAAAGTTCTTTTAAGTGTTCTTTACACATCTTCTAAAACAGTTGCTCTTTGAAATTTTATTTTTAATTGAAACATGCATCGTAGATTAAGGTTTAACGTATATTTCTCGAATCTATTATTTTATTCACAAACATCTTAGGTCTCGACAAAAAAAATATCGTATCTATAGAATTCTTAGTTTCATCTTAAACTTGACATGATGTGAAATGTATATAAAACATGAAAAAAATATTTTATATAAACGTATAAGAAAATTACCGTGCTGTCAATAGCCACGCCTTCGTACAAATTTTCGTTCTGAAATATGTGGGTTTGTTTAGTTTCATCATTTCTCGGTGGATGTTTATATTCAAACTCAATTTCGTTTGGAAACTGAACGCGATTTTCATTCGATTTTGATTCGTGTTTAAAATGATTATAATTTTTATCGAAATAAGTAAAATCATATTCCGAAGGAGGTTTTAGATTTTCTTCTTGTTTCAACTGATCAAATTCGAAATTATGGTGTTGTTCTGGGATCTTTTGTGAAATTTGTTCAGGAATTTGTTTAGAAATGTAATCCTGTGTATCAATTTGCGTTCTTTGTTCAATTTCGCTATTTGGAGCTTTTCGCCAAGAACTCCAATTCTTTGTGCTAGGTTTGGATGTAACGTTGTCTTGTGATTGATACCATTTTGGAGAACGTAATGTTGTTTGAACGTACGATTCTGTCTCGGTCGAATGCCAAGGAAGCACTGATTCACGACGTTCCGGCGGTTTCGTAGTTGTCGCTCTTGGATCGTAGATCTGCGATATAAAATTGACAAAAGAACATCAAACGCACAGTTTTAACTTTTATGAATATACAAAAGAAATGAATATATCTAAAGATGAGTATACCAAAATGAGACAAATTTCTTTGTTTCATTACCATATATTAATTAAAATACTTCGATAGTAAGTAATGAATAAGATTCTCGTATTTAATACAGTAAATAATATTATACTAATAAATAAATAAAATGTATTTGACAATTCTTGAGTGATTGCAATGTGTTTTTTAATTTTAATAAACACATAAACACGTATATTTCATTTTAGCAATTAAAATTTTAATAATTAACGTAAATTAAATCATATATGATTTAAATATCGCACACTTTTTATTTGCGTTTGTGAATATATTGTAAACCCATAGTTATGTCACGTGCACGTATACGTATATATACATATATATACATGGTAAGAGAGAAAATATATGTCAATGACACACATATTTTCACAATTGTTCTATCTAAATACATTATTTCGGTAGCCTGATTGCCACATCTGGTAATAAATTTACATTACATGTTTAGATATATGTCGTTATATAACAGACAATCAATTAACGCAAATATCTTTTAACTCAGTTCATTAGTCTTATGCTATGTATCATATAATATGTATTACATTATTATTGCATCAATAAGAAAATTAAGTGTGTCTCTGTTTTATCAAATTATCAAATATTATCACGTTTAAAGGTAATATAAGTTTCCTCGCTATAAATCTTGGAAAGAATACAAGAAGAATACAAGTTTGCTTTGCATGCTTGTATTTTCGTATTTACGTTATCATTATATAATAAAACATTGATATTTTTTTGCGATATTTTTTTCAACTTTCTATATTAAATTATTACTTCAACTCTTAGTCAAACTCCTAGTCTTCACATTTTGATTACGATTTTAAATAGAGTTTTGAAACAAAAGAAGGATAGGAATTAGCTACTGTATGTATCACCGAACACTCGCAAGCAAACAACTTCATCACATACCGCGGAAGAAAAAGCAGCAATATAAATGAAGAGGAACGCAACGAAGAAATGATCAAAACACAATGTCATCTTCGATATTTCCACGATACACACTGAACATCATACTATACTGATTCTTGGGTCTCTCTCTCTAAAACCGTAGGCGCCTGAAATGCTAATCTATCCCGTTCCACTCAAAAGCAGATACTGATATACTTGAAGAAACAAGTGCTCCGAATTCAAGGAAATCGAAGGAGAAACCGGAGGATTATCAGCCAGAGAGGTCGAGGTTCATCTCAACAAAAGATGTAGATAACGAAACGAAAAGAGAGAGAGAAGAAAAGTTCTCCTCCTCAGTTTGAGACGTATGCTTACGTATATGTAAGATAGAAAAAAAAAAAGAAGCATGCCGATAAAAAGTCAACATAATAAACGAGCGAGTGCAAAACAGACTACTATTTGCCAATTGACGGT